TACGTACATGACAAGCTCTTTTTTGCATTACCTCATTTCGCCCTTGTAATAACACTGTAAGGTAGCTAATATTATTTTACTTTGTATGGATGAAAAAAAACGATATCAGGTAGCTTGCTTGAGGTCACCAGGTGGCAAGTTCCAGATCTGAACGCGGGTCCATCTCATGCTCTGAACTGCCAGGACTTAACAAACCAGAACCTCCCAGAATACACAAGTGCCGAGATCACAAGGGCTTGGGGGAAACCCTAAAGTCATCTGGCTGGTCAACCTGACAACTTTAAACCTTTGTTATCAAAAAAGCCAATCAGAGAGGAAGGATTAATCTACCTATTTGCAAATCTGTTCTTTTGCCTACCTCTGAGCAGTCTCGAGATACAAGAAAGGGGCTAAAAATATTCTTTCCAGAAGTTTGATCTACCTGTCAGTTATATATTTTGATTCTTCAACTGTTAATTGGCATTATGGTCATTTGAAGAGTAATGTAAAGAAATATTCTTTAAAGTATTAGAAACTATGGCCAACTATGCCAAAATATGCTAGTGAGTAGTGCAGAGATGGAATACAGTTGAGCCTTCAACAACACAGGTTTGAACTGCACAGGTCCATTTATATGGGGATTTTTGGTTTTCAATAAATATGTATATACAGTCAGCCCTCCATATCCCTAGGTTTTGCATCTGCAGATTCAACCAACCATGGATGGAAAACAGTATTTTCGATCCAAAGTGGAAAATCTGTAGATGCAGAGAGCTGACTGCTTCATTGCTCTGCACCATTATAGATAGGGGACTTGAGCATCCACAGATTTGAGGTCTGCGGGGCTCCTGGAACCAATGCCCCACAGATATCAAGGGATAACAAGCTTCTGTAGAGTAAAAAGTTATACCGGAATTTTTTACTGCACGGCACAGGATACCCCTAACTCCTGTGTTGTTCAAGGGTCAATTGTACCTGTATGTCTAATGAAAGGCCTGTACCAAAATCATGTCTCCCACGTGCCTCCGAGCGTACCTGCACAGTCTGGCTGGAAGCACACCCTGAAGATGATCTCCTCCACTGCAGCATGGCTTCGGGACAGAATTTGCTCATGGGCTCACCAGCGGTGCTTCTTCAGAAGCCACAGGCCACTGGAGAATGGATGATAAGAAAGACAGGTATTACTTAACGAAAATATACAGACTCATCCTCTTTGCCCATCCTATGTTTAACAGTCCCCAAATCCTCTCAATGCATCGAAACATCTCTTCATATACATGCCCGCCCAGAACCTCAAAATGTGACGTGGTTTGGAAATAGGGTCTCTGCAGCTGTAATTACTTAAAATAAAGTCATGTTGGATTAGAATGGGCCCTAAATCGTACAACTTATGTCCTTATGCGAAGAGAAGATACCCAGGGACACGCACCAAGGAAAAAGCCACATGAAGGCAGACGCTGAGACTGGAGTGATGCAGCTTACAAGGTAAGAAATGCCAAGGATTTCTGGGAGCCGGGAAAGGCAAAAAGGATTCTCCCTCAAAGTCTCAGGAAGGAGAGCAGCCCTGACAACACCTCGATTTCAGAATTCTCCAGAGCCATGAGAGAACACATTTCTGTTGTTTTAAGCCACCCAGTTTGTGATAATTTGTTAGGACGCTTCTAGGAAACTAACAGAGGAGCTACCACACACGTGACCCAAGCGCTCATCATCTTTTGTTGGAATTATTTTTACAGCGTTCTGCCAACCCAACTCCTCCTGCAGGCCCCACCTACCCCCCCACCTCTTCCCTGCAAAGGAAAATACGTCGCACACCAAGTTCACTTCTTTGAACCCAGATAAACTTCCAAAGACCCTCTGACTCAGTAATTCTGCTTTCCAGATGTCTTTTCCTAAGGAAATAATCAGATGCACGTAATTTTTTATACGAGAATATTTCTTAGTGAATTAATAAGGAAAAATTGGAAGCAACCCAAATGATCAAATGTTGGAAAACGGTTGAATAAATTAGGGTACATTCCTATGACTGAACATTATGCAGCTATTAATATTATGGTTTTGAGTTAACAACGTGTGAAAATAATCGAGATATAATGCTAACTGCTATAAGCTGGATAAATAACTATATAATGATTCCAATTTTGTTTTTGACATGTTTGTATAGACAAAAGATTAGACAGACAGACATAATTTGGTTATCTCTGAGGAGTCACAAAGGGATCTTTTTGTATATCCTATTTCTGTAGAATCATGTATTATACTCATAAAAAGAAAAATAAGCAACACATTTTATTCAACAAATTTAGCAGATTTCCAGCGCTATAGCATTCAAGCTATTTTGACCACATCTCACGGTAAGAAATATGGTTGTCATTCTGACTACAGTAAGTCCTCACTTAACATTGTCAATAGATTCTTGGAAACTGGAACTTGAGCAAAACAATGTATAAAAAAACTAATTTTACCACAAGCTAATTGATATAAACAAAAGTTAAGTTCCTACAGCCTACTTCTGGTCACAAAAACATCACCAAACTTCTAAATAAAGACCCCAAACACTTCTATTACTAAACATAAAAATAAAGTGAACTATACATACATTTGGGTGTCCCAACTATGCAGTTGTAAGCTTTAATGACTTCAGAAGTATAAATGCTACAAACTTTCAAAACTGTCATTTGAAAACTTCTTTTGACTCTAAGTTTTAATTATTTTAACAAACGTAATTGTAATTTTTTTTTTCCTTTTAGTCAATGTATGCCATTTTTCACTCGGGAACGGAAAACAAAAACATATTTAAAAATGTGTTACTCAAAATTCACAAAACTAAATAAGTATAGAATACATTTAATTAAACTTTCAAATAATGTGTTTTATATGCACCGTGTATACCTCTGAAGTTTTTAAAACTGCAGGAAAGCTTTTGCAACACAGGTTTTGAATAAGTATCCTAAAGTACTTATAAAGTAAATATAAAGTCATTTTATATTTACTGTAAAATCCAGTTTGGTTTTATTTAAGTGGCTCCATTTTGGATGCAAGTATTCCTTAGCCAGTAACTATCCCCATGCTTAGGCCACAGGGGCCCTTGCCCAGTGCCCACACTTTAGAAGGCCCTTCTCTGGCCTTGATTGGCTATACTCCTCCCCACAGGTGAGGTATCTAGTGGGCTAAGTCCATGGTTCCCCCTGGCCCCAAATCCATACCTCCCCACATCTTGTTCTGACTATCCAGCACACCAGATTACCTCCCCAAATGGCACTGGGCCTCCTTCAAGGTCCTGCACAGCAGCAGCAGTGTCGTCTGCCAATGTCTATAACCCCGGAGCAGACAACACTGCAATTGGTGTGCACATTCATAGGCCCAGGATGTGGCCAGTGGCATGGCTGCTTCCAGAGAGCTGGACTAAGCTTCCACATTGGGACTGGAGCTTACTGGGAAAAGAGAAGGTGGCTGCAGACCTGGGACTGAGAGCCAGCTCTCCCTGCACCACCACATTTAGGTGCAGATCAGCAAGGAATTTGAACCTGACCTTTCAGGTCATAATGAAGGCATATTAGTCAATATAGGAAGGTTGACTTGATTTATTTAATCGTTTGTTAAGGGTGGGCTGTTCTTGGTATGAAAGGAAAATATTTTCCCCACCAACATGTTTTGCTCCATAAGGCGATAAGTGGGCAGGACATACTTCCACGCATAATGTGTGATGGCAAATACTGATGGCTGCAGTCACCCAGCACAGACTCGGGGCCAGGTGATTTTCATACAGCTTCTCATTTAATCCTCACCACAACCCAGTAAAGTAGGTACTTATGAGAAGTGAGACTCAGTGTCATTAAGTAATTTGTTCCAGGTCACAAAGTCAGTGCTATAGTTAGCCTTAGATGCATAACAAACTACCCAAAGCTGATGTGGCTTAAAACAATGATTTTGGTTTTTTTTTTCCCCTGACTGGGGGGTCAGGTGGGTGGTTGAGCTGCTGGTTTCACCTGGGCTCGCTCAGGCAGCTGCACTCACTGGAGTGAAGGCTTCTCTCATCAGGCTCCTAGTGAGCTGGTGCAGCTGTCTCTGGGATGCCTATAGCTCTCCTGCATGGAGCCTCTTACTCTCTAGGAGCCACGCTGGCTTCTTGGCGTGGCAGTCACACGGCAGCAATCTCACAGCAGAAGATGCAAAGCCTTTTGATACCTGGGATGGAACTGGCACTTGCCCACATTCTAATGGTCAAAACCAGTCACACTGCCAGCCTGAGTCAAGGGGAGGGAAAACAGAATCCACATCTGCAAAGGAGTATGGGAGCACAGTGACTTTTTTTTTCTTGTCACCTTTAAAAACAATGGTTCAGAGCTAGTGTATTATATTAACAGATAAACAGCCAGGATTCAAAGCCAGGTGGCCTGGCTGGGGTGTTCTAAGTAACTGTGCCATCTCTGAACCACAGGGCATTTGGGACTTAGACATGGAAGGGATTTTGTATTATGTCCTACACCCTTGCTCTTACAATCTCCTTACCTTTTAAGTCTGTCTTCCCCCCAGTGTCTGGCTTAGTGCCCAGCACTTGGTGGTGATTAATAATACATATTTAGGTCACTTACAAGAGATGTGACCCTGAATGGGATACTTCTCCTCTTTAAGCCTCACTTTCCCATCTTCAGAAGGGGGATAATTATAGTACAGAACACAACAGGTTACTATAAGATTCCAGTGCTATAGCGCGGAGAAAGCACTTAACACAACATTGGCTTTCAGCGGTCTCTCATTATTAGCGTGACTGGTATGTGGACGATGGATGAATGCACATGGGGTTTTTTAAGTGGCACTAAAACACCGCCAGGTTTCCAGATGCAAACACCGGCTTGCAAGCATGCACCAGAGTAGGGAAATAATTTTAAAATACAGTGCTCAAATCTCTAAGCTAACAGCTTTTAGAAAGTGGGAGAGAAAATCAAAACACCAGCGAACGGAGTTACGTACGCCGCGGCGTATCTTTCTCTGTTCATTTTAAGGTTCCACGCTGGGGCTGCTGGCTTCTCCCAAGCTGGGGAGTGCTGCCTGGGCGCGGCCAGGTCGCGGGAAGGGTGAGGTGGGGACGTACCTTCGGCTGATAGGTCTCGGTCACGTGAGTGGCCGAGAGGAGCCTTCAAAAGCTCGCGTTCTGCAGGGAAGTGTGACTGGGAAGTGCGAGGGGAAGGCTGTGCGACTTCTCCCTGCCTGGGGAACCGCTGCGGGTACCGGCTGGCTGGGAACTGCGCGCACCGTGAAGCGGGAAGACGCTCCAAACGCCCTGCGTAAGTGCGCGGGGTCTCAGGAAGATAAGGGCGCTCGCCGGGGCGGGTCTTCACCACGTCTCCGGACGCACGGAGCGCAGGGCGGATGGTCTCCTCCTCTTTAACGCACCGGAGGAGGAGAACCTCGTGGAGTAAGATTGGGTTCAGGTGTTCGTGGCCGGCTCGGAGTTTCCAGGTGGGGATACTTGGGATGTTTGGCACTGGGCTCTGAGTGCGCTCAGCCCGGAGAACACTCCCGAAGGCTTCTGGCACAATCAGAGGCGGTGGCACCTGGGCTGCTTTCAGACCAGGATACGCCTCCTAGTCCAGGAGCCCCTCCAGGGATGCCCGAAGCTGTGGGATGCCCCATTACTCTCCGGGAGCCCATCCCCTTCCTCCCTCCACACATTTCTTTGGGATGCTTTGATTTCGGGGTGCCGTGGAGGAGTGGAAGTGAAACGTGTCTTCGACTTGAGCATCCCGCACCAAAGACTTGGCTTGCACGGAGGAAGGGAAAGCACCCCAGAAAGACTAATTCCTGGAATGTAGATTAGGAGAAAAGCAGGGGCATGGGACGGGCGGAAGCAGCCCCCTGCCAAGTGGATGCTGTCCTTGCAGGGGAGTTGGTAGGAGCCAGTGGGACTCAGAGAGACGTAAAGACGTGTATGAAATGGAAGCATCAGTACCTTTCAGGTCAGCTTGGTGTCATGGGAAAAAAATGGGCTTTGACATATTTACGGATTCAAATCCCAGCTCTGCCTTTTGCTAGTTGGTCACCTTGAGCAGATGATTCAAGTTTACAAAGCCCCACCCTCCCCAGTGAGAAGACACTTAATTTGGCTTTCCCTCACCCCCTAAATGTACAATCACTTTGTACTTTTTTTTTTTTGGTGTGGGATGAGTAAGAACAGAGATGGAAGGAGAAAAAGAGGCCCAAGAGAATGCATTTTACTAACTTGAAAAATAACTTTTAAGAAAGTCGTTCAAACTAGGAATTGAAACATTTTTGGAAAAGCAGACTGCACTGGCTTTGCTGGCATATGAAAGTCTGTACAGTTGTCAAAACCCTTTGGCTGATGGGGCTTTCTAGACTTCTGCCCCAGGTTAATCAAGCCCATGGGAAACCCCTTATGATGGAATGCCAGTGTCTTAGCAAGAAGCGGTTTTATTCTTTTATAGGAGTTGGTTGTTTCCGAGGGGCATAATGTGGCCCCGCAACATATATGAATCCAGCTTATAAACCAATTTACAGTCAGGCTCTACTAGGCTTATCTTACAGCCAGGGAAGTAAGTGGGCTTTGACTGACAGGAAGTTCAAATGACTTAGAAGAGTGTTCAGCCAGTCTGCTGGACTTACCAGTTCACTCCCCTAGAAAAAATAAAAACAAGAAGCAAACAGCCTGACAGTATTTTGTTAAGGACTTTGTTTTTGTTTCTGGAAAGCATAGGATTTATTAGAGGAAAACCTAAGTGTTCAATACTACCCTGGTATGCACAGACCTAAGACAGACTTAGTTACCACCTCAGATAACATCACAAAACCATTAATTATTGACACCCTAAGACCCAAGGCAAATAGGCAATGAACAATTCTTAATAGGAAATACAGTTCACCTAAAAGAGCAAATGTGATTACTTTAACATTCCCAGGGGTTTAATAATGTGGAGTTTTCACGGGCTGAACCAAGAACATTTTAAAGAACTTAAGTAGGGCAGTTTCTCATAATTAGAAAGAGGCCAGTAGAAGAATGACTCATTCATATCTAAATTGGCTGGGGAGAGGGGTAAGCTGGGCAGAAAGCTAAGAACTTTGTCCTAGCCAAAACCAGGACTAGAGTTTGAACTTTTATGCTATGTATTTGCAAGTTCAAAGACTTAAGTGATAATAGACTCAGTTCGTAGGACAGTGATTCAGGTGCTTTCTTTATAAAACCTGGGCTCCTAAGTGTAAATGAACCGAAAGCAGAGTATTGAGAGTCTCCCTCCAAGATATTGTAGGTACAGCCTTGAGCAAAAAACCACGTTTTTTCTTGCATCGATTTGACCTAGAACCTGGGGAGCAAGAAGTGGGTGGGGGGACTGACTCTATGTCTGAAAAAGCAAATTCTTAGCATCATATCTTTCCGATATTCCTGAGTCTTGTCTGTTAACTTTACTCCCTGTTCCGCTTCTAGTTAGTGGCTTTAAATTGCTACAGTTGTCTATTGGCCTGAATATTTATTGAGGCATCCCTTAAGGCCTTTCTTCTTTCTCTTTTGGGACTCCATATCCTACTCATTACTCATCTTTCAAAAAGACCTTTTGACCTATCTTTTTGTACTTGTGTGGTTCTCCGGGGAGGAGATAACTCAGCTCTCAAGAGATGCATTCCTTCATCCATATATTCATTTAACTGGGATTTTTCCCAATGTTTGATTATGAAAATTTTTAAACATTTAGAAAATAAAAGTTGAAAGAATTTCAGAGTGTATACTCTCCCCCTCCCCCCCCCACCCCAATTCTCTTCTCATTCAACTGATACTGATTAATGCCTACTGTTCGCCTGGAGCTGTACTGATCTGTAAAGACATAAATGGCAGAGTAAAGTTAGGGAACAAGGAAGGGTTGGATTTGGCTGGAGCATAGAGTTTGTGCAGGGATTATGTGACCTGGGCCTAGAAGGTTATCCTGGAGTCCCATTGTGGAAGACATTGAATTTTATGGCAGGAAGCTTGTACTTCATCCCGGAAGGCATTTGAGGAGGGGGGAGTGACTTGTGCTCTAGAAAGCTCTTTCTGGCCTTAGGGTTAGGCTGAATAGGGTGAAGGGGGACTGAAGTCTGAGAGATGAGCTAGGAGGTTTTGCAAATGTCCTGGGGCCAGTCATAGTCAAACCATGGACAGAATGGATTGCAGAGACAAGAAAGAGGAAGAAGGGTGGGACTTGGTGAGAAATTTGACATGAGGACTTGGCTTTAGAGCTCAGGTATCTTCAAGGATAGCATGCCATTAAGAATAGAGAAGTCAGAGGAGGAGGAAGTTCGAAGGCGATGATGAGATCTTGTTTTAAGACTCTGTTGAGTTTAAGGAACCAATCGGATACCCATGTGGAGGTGTCAGCTAAGAGTGAAGAGCCCATCAACAAGGTCAGGACTGAACAACTATCTGGACTAGCAATTAGTGATCAAGGGATGGTTGAAGGAGAATGTATGGACAAAGTAAAGGACAAGACCTTGAGGGAAATCTGAATGTATAGAGTTCTTGGAACAGGAAAAAAAAAACCACTGGTGTTCAATTATCAGTTAGCATTTTAATGACTGTTCTATCTATGGTGTTATTGTAGCCACAGTTCTTGATAACTTACAAGAGTCACAGACTAAAAAGCATACCCATACCCGTAGAGTGGAGTCGTTTCCTACTCCCATTATAGGAGGCACGGGGCAGGGTGAGGGGAATAAGGTAGGAGTGGAGAAGGAAGAGGGGAAAATTAAATGCTTTTTTATCTACGACTTAAAATAGACAGTCTTTAGCCGCATAAACCATTTCCAAATATCAGGAAGCCAGGTAATGTAATGAACTTGTCTATCTTTTCAGAAGGCAGCACCTACTTAATGTGGGAACCACAAAATCCTATCCTGATGATGGCCGTATTTTCCAAACCAAACCTCCGGTGTGACGCATATTCCCAATGCATGGTCACCAGGCCTTCGTCCAAACATTTAGCAACCCGAATGCCTCCCTCCCTTCCCACTTTAATACTTGAGTACATGCTCTAGGTGCTGAAAAAGTAAATGTTCAGCCCTGTAAACCCATCTTATTATATTAATTTACCACTGACAAGGCAATTTATTAGAAATTAGAATTATTTAGCATCTACTCTGTGGCCAGGGACTGTTCCAAGGCCTCAGTTAGAAGGTGAGAGCAGGGACGATCCTTTTTGTTTCTGCAGTACTGGGTAAAGGTTTATTCCGGGGGTGCCAAAAAAAATGTATACAGTGGACACTTTGGTCAGCGTTACTCAAGCAGTAGTTCGTCGTCATTAGAAGTGCCTGGATGCTGATGGTAACCACGTTGAGCCCTTCTTGTAATTGCTGAAGTCAAATGTGACTTGTATTCATCTTTTGTTATTGGTATATATCGAGTATTACAATTTTAATACAGTTTTCCTTAAAATGTGTATACATTTTTTGACACCCTTTGTATATGTATGTATATTATCTCATGTCTCTGTCACTATAACAATGAAAAGCAGTGTGCTTCTACCCAGAATAGAAGCATTTTGTTGAAAGGTGTAGGGTTTTGAAGCTGTGGCCAAATGCTTACTGTGTGCTGGGCATTGTGTTAGGTGTTTGCACAAGGGGGTTCCTTCCTGTAGTCCCTCTGGTTTGGCAGGTTTTTCAGCTCAAAATTGCTCAATTGAGTATTATTGGTGGGGTGTCTGCCCTCTGGCCCTGTCTTATTTCCACCCAACTTCTTGAACTCTCTCAGAATGACAGCCCCTGAGGCTGAGTTTAACAATCATTCCTTAAGTCTTCTTAAGATCACACTTTCAAAACCTCTGCTGATGTCTTTTAGAGTGGACTAGAGGAAAGCTCTATTTTTAATTTGTTTACTTGTTTGTTTTACTCCATCAGTCCTCTGCTTTTCCCATGGCCCTGCTTGTTTATACATCTAAGGTCACTTGCCTCTTTTTCCTTACTTTCCTTCCATTGTGAGTCTGGAGAGAGGGTGGGATAGGATATGGGGCTGACAGCAAGATTGTATTAGCTCTGGAATGGATTGTACTTGACTCTGGTAGGCAAAAGGTCCATGCTCTGTTTTCTTCATCCTTCTTTCCTGAAGTTTAAAGTAGCCAGTTGCACAACTGGCAGAGGATTTGGATTGGGTGTGAGGTCATCACCCACGAGGACTGAATAAGTGCAGCGGTGATCGGCAGTGCCTTAGAGAACTGAGTTCCTTGTGCCTTATTCTAGCACACACCCAGTCTGCCTGGAACTACTGGGTTTTGTACAGGTCTCCCTTTCTCATATTTGACTCCCCTAC